CATACAGGAGAGGGAGTGACCCCACCACCCAGCAGCTCCACTTTAGGGTCAGGTCCGTCGCCTCCTCCTCTGGGAGAGATAGCAGCTCCCCTGCCCCACCCCCCGGATGCTGCACTTGTCCGGACAGCAACTGGGTGTTTGTCCTCCTAAGGTCGGGGGTGGGGGTTGTCTCAGAGCGGTTGCGAGGGGGGGGCAGCCTGGGACTTTACATCAGCTGTGGGGGAGAGGAATGCCAAGGGGTGGTCATGGGAGGAAGAGAGGCTGTCAGTTGGCCAAGGCCTCCTCCACCACCACCCCGTGTCCTATGGAAGGCGGGATATGGAACCCAAGCCCCCAGCTCCTTCCTTTCCTGGGGCTGGGGGGGCGGGGTATTGGGAAGGGGCAGGCTTGGGGGTGAAGGGCCCCACAGAGGCATTCCTGGGTCTGCCGTTGTTCATGGTGGACTCCTTCCACCTAGGATTTTGGGACTCTGTGGGGTCAGGAAGGTTGCCCAGAGCTGCTTCCCATGGCAGGGGGTGTTGACTGCTGTCCCTGGGGGACATTGACGGCTGAGGGTGCATATTGGCTGCTCTCCCATGTCGTGGGGTGTGGAGGTGAATGCTTCTCCCCAGGGGCGTTGGTTGCTGGAGGTGCATATTGAGTGCTCCCCTGTGTCTCGGAGCCGTGGGGTCATTGAATGCTCCCCTCCCTGCAGCATTGGCTGTACGCTGTGTCTTGGGGTGCAGGGGCATTGAGTACTCTCCTCCCTGGGAGCATTGACTTTCTCCTAGTGTCTTGGGGTGCAGGGGTTGTTGAGTGCTCCTCTCCCAAAAGCATTGACTATGCCCTATGTCATGGGGTACAGGAGCATTGACTCTGTGTCTGGGGTGTGGGGCTGTTGCCTGCCTCCCAGGATGGGCTCCCCTGTGTTGAGGGTCAGATCAGAGCCTGGTCTCTCCAAGCTGTGGGTGGCCTGAGAGCTGAGGGCACAGCATCCCACCCTGGCGGCCTCTTCCGCCCCTCAAGGGCCCCAGGATCATGCCCCATGCTCATCCCAGGTGGCACAGAAGCCCTGTGGTGCCCAGGCTACACCCAGTAGTGTCCCCTGCAGGTCACTCGGGGTCCTTGGGACCTGCTGCTAAGTCATGTTTGAGAATCATCCCTCCTCACTCTGCACCAGACCTCCGTGGTGGCTATTGTCACCCAGTGTGAGAGCAGAGGACACACCCCCCTCTCGGTCCCTCTCCAGGACCCCATTAAGTGCCCCCCATTCAGCAAGGAGGACCTCAAGATGTGCCCCTCTGGAGTGGGTCTCTCGTTCCCCACAAGGGGAGCCAATACCTCGCCCCCATTCAGTGTTCCCTCTTACTAGCATTAAGGCACTGTCCCCTGTCCCCCATCAGTGTGCCCAGGGTCCTCATTCTGGGGTGGAGGACGCTACCCCTTCTCTCCTGGGAGTGATTCTTGGTGCTGCTTTCCTCCACAGTGAGCTGGAGGAGCCTGTCATCGTGGCATGTCCCCCAGGGATAGTTCCCCTGCTGGGAGCCCGCACACCTACATTAGGGTGGAAGGCATAGGGCCCCACGTTGGGAAAGACTGTTCTTCCTGTCCCCTGGGGAAGCCCCCATCAATATCTCTGTAGTCCCCCTCTTGTGGGGTGGAGAGGCTGTGCTCTGTCCCTGGGGGCCCCTGTTTTATGGTGGAGGGCACCGCTGTCGTCTCCAAGGTGGCAGATGGCTGCTTGGAGCAAAGGAAACAAGCAGAAGTCCAAGTTTGTCCTGGTGGAAGGGTCAGGCAGTGTCCACCTCAGCCTCCTCCAGTCCCCTGTCTGCTGAGCGCAGGAGGGAGCTGGGGTTAGGGGACCGGGAGGAGGCTGGAGTCTGAGAGGGGAGCCTGGGAAAGGGGCCTGTGGGGGTCCTGGAGGGGGCAAGGGCTAGGGGAGGCCATGGGAAAGGGGCCTCAGGAAGGGGACTGAGGACTGGAGGATGCAGGAGGGGGCCTGAGAGAGGGGTCCTCAGGAGACAAGGGTGAGGGGCCCCAGGAGCAGGGCTGAGAGAAGGGGTTGCAAGAGGAGGTGAAAGTGGGGGCTCTACAAGGGGACACGAGAGAGGACTGAGAGCAGGGAGCTGTGGGAGGGGCCCCCGGACAGGACTGAGGGCCCTGGGACAACGGAGGGTTGCTGAGAGGAAGGGTGAGAAGGGCTGTATGAAGGGCGATGCGGGTAGGGGGCTGTGGAAGGGGGGGTCCTCAGGGGGGCACACAGTGGTGGTACTGAGTGAGAACACAACAGGGGGCCAGGGCTGCGAGCAGCCGCTGGGACCCGGTTGGCACCCTGGCTGTGGTGTCTGCTGGGAGCCCAGCCCCTCCTCAGTCTTCCTCGGGGGTGGGGGGACTCACAGAGGGGATCAGAGGTGGGACGGAAGCCTTTTGGAGCGCAAGAGAATGGGGTCCCTGAGAGAGGAACACCTCTTACAGCAGCAGGGGTCTCAAGTCCATTTGTGGCTTTTGCTGTGTCTTGCTGACCTGGTAGGGAGGACCCTTGGGTGGCCCTGGCCGGGACACCGGGTGACCCCCGCTAGACAGGGGTGGGGGCTGCCAGCAGCATCGGTGTCCCCAGCTTCTCCTGGAAGTCTCACTGAGAAGAGGAGGGGACAGGTGGGGGAAGAGGCACAGACAGGTGGGCTAGCAGGCGGCAGCTGGAGCTGGAGCCCGGGCGGGGGACAGAGGGCCTTGGGGAGGGCCCGCAGCTGCTCGCCCACCTCTGACCGCCCCGGCACCCAGACCCTGTCGCTGGCTCGGCCTTCATCTTGCTGCTGTGACGCACCTGCCGTCCGGCCGCCGTCCCCCGGGCGGCCCTGCGCAGCGGCGCGCTTGGTGGGAGCGGCCAGCGGGCAGCGTGCCTTCACTGGGCGCAGGCAGGCGGACAAAGGCCTCTCAGAGCCGCATTCCCCGCGCGGCGCCTCCCCGCGGAGCCTCCCGCCCACCGCGTTGGCCGCTGGCCGCGCCCGCCCGGAGCAGCTGCCGCCGCGTCCTGTCCACAGACACCTGCTCCCTTGCCCTTTGTCTGAGCGGACGCCTGATTTATGAGGCCTGTTTTCCATCTCGCTGGCCACACCAGAGTCACACGGATGCTCCCAGTCCCTGCATCCAGCCTGCCAGGGACTCCCAGCACATTGTCCCCCTGGAACGTCTATCTGGCCTGGGTTAGGGGCTTGGCCCAGGGCTGTGCAGGCGCCCCTCCAAAGCTGGGGGACCCGTGGAGGACAAGCCTGCCCTATCCTGCCCCCTATCGATGTCCCTTCCCCTAGTGCCCGGAGGGGAGGGTGCAGGGGAGGGTGCTGTGGTGCTGGCCAAGGCCCTTTGATGAGGCGGCGCCCTCTGTCCCCCCCTCACCGGCTTTGTCAGCAGCTGGCAGGAAGAAAGAGCCTTTTTCTCCAAGTAGGACCCGAGGCCAAACTCCCACGACAACGGGGGGCATTGATGGGCTGCTCGGCCCCACCCCTGCTGCCCAGGCAGACCAGCCTGCCTGTAACTGGATCTGGATGTGGGCACGGGGTGCTGGGGGATGAGGGGTGCCAGGGGACCGTTCCTGCTCCGCTGAGTGTCCTGGTGGGAGCCCACGGCCCTGAGAAGTAGGGCAGGCCTGGGCTGGGAAGGGCTTAGGGCTCCCAGTTGGACTTGCCCCCCCCCGTGGGTGAGGTGGGGATACAAGGGAGGTGGAGTTAACTCTCAGGGCCTGGAGGGGCGGGAATTTGGGTTTTGTTTTTTTTTTCCTGAACCAATTGGTGTAGGGCTTTTGGCTTCTGACAACAGATGGTAGGCTGGAGTGGCCATTTTCTGGCCTGCTGTCCATCTACCCCAAGCTATGGCCACAGATAAAAGCCATCAGGGAAGACAGATGTCCCCGGCCGCTGGGCTGGGGATGGCCAGATGCTTGGAAGCTCGGCTCTAGCCCCCTGAAGCCCCGAGGGGCCCCTGCAAGGGCTCCCTCCCCTAGGGGCCGGCTTCTGAGAGCCCCTCTGTGTCCTGCCGAGGCTGCCTGCCAGCAGGCCCTGCCTGACCAGGACCAGCGCTCAAGCTGGTGGGTAGGCCTGTGGGCTGCGCTCAGGCGGCCTTCCCAGGGGTGGGCGGGTGGCCGTTCTGCCTCAGAGGTTCCTGGTCTGGGAAGCAGCAAAACTGGTGGGTCTCAGGCCCTTCAGTGAGGTTTCCCTGAGTGTGAGGCCAGGAGGTGACCACATCAGCAATTTATTGCCTGGCTCTGGAGGCTGTGCCCACAGGATGGGTGCTTTGGGGGTGGGGATGGCTGATGGGATCCTACCCCTCTGGTCTACTCTGAGTTGGACCCCAGGTTGGCGGGGTGACCAGTTGATGGAGCTCAGGCTGTTTGTGTGGTACCCCGGTTTTTCCAGCTGTGAAGTGGCTGTCCTGGCTCTTGGGCAAGCCTCACCCTCTTCCTGAAGCAGGGTTGGGGTACCAGACGTCGAGCAGAGGAGAGGGTTCCGTTTGAGGAAGGGGAAGCCAGCTTCACTGAGTCTCCACCTGCCTCCGTCTGTGGGGCAGCCACCTCCCAGGCACATTGGGAGGTGCAGGCGCGGCACCTGCCCTCCCAGGAAGTCCCTTCCCCCGGGTGCCACTGTCTTGGTCACCCGAGGTCCTGTAATGCAGGATCACCTCACAGACCTGGGGCCAGAGACTGAGCTTGTGTGTGAACGCGTGCGTATGCTGGAGTTGAGTGTGCGAGGCTGTGCCGTCAGGGCAGGGCTTGATGGCACACGTGGGTATAGCTCAGGTACGTCACATTGGAATCTCCCGATTCTAGCGTGACCTCCTGGACATGGCAGAAGGCACTGCCCCTTCTGAGTCAACTACATCCAAGGGATGGGACTGGAGCCTGGATTTGTATTTGGGCTGCACGGTTCAAACTGTGTCTCCCATCTCAGAGCTCAGTGCTGGCCCTGGATATGTCCCTGCTGGGGGAGTGGTGCCCTGGCCAGTGGCCTCACTGAACCCCCTCCCCACAGCTGCAGCGGGGCCTTTGTGGGCCGACGGTGCCAGGCGCCCAGCCCCTGCCTCAGTGCCCCCTGTAAGAACGCAGGGACGTGCCACGTGCTGGATGGTGGCAACGGTGTGGACTACTCCTGTACATGCCGCCTGGGCTTCTCCGGGCCACTCTGCCTGACACCCCTGGACAACGCCTGCCTCACCAGCCCCTGCCGTAATGGAGGCACCTGTGACCTGCTGACCCTTGAGGAGTACAAGTGCCGCTGCCCCCCAGGATGGTCAGGTAAGGGGGCCCCCAGATCAGGAGAGGGGCTGGTGAGGCAGGGTCTCCCCCAAGGCTAATCAGATAAGGGGTGCCTCAGCTTGGGAGGGACTTAGGGTGTCGGGGTTTCTCCTGTCCCCCAGCTGATCAGATGAGGGGTGCCCTCAGCCTAGGAGAGGGATCAGGGTGCTGGGGTTTCACGGCCCCTTGGGCTGGTCAGGTGAAGAGCGCCCCTAGCTTGAAAAGGCCCAAGGTGTTGGGGTTTCCAGACCCTGCCCCAGAGTCCCCAGATTCTTTCCTGTCCTGGTTTTCAGTTCCTTGTCCCCAAGGCCTTATTCTTACCATCTCCAAGTCAACGAGAAAGGGACCCCATCTCCCCAGCGTGCACTGGCCCTCAGCCCTAGTATGACGCCCAGAGGGGGCGTTTTTGCTGTTAGGTGCTGTCACCTGGGACTCAGCAGCCCTGGGAACAGCATCTGGACTGTGCCGTGTCCGGCAGCGTTCTCGTCACCCTGTTACAGTGGGTGTCACCCGCCCCAGGTGACCCCTCCCACTCTCTCCCCGCAGGGAAGACGTGCCAGCAGGCTGACCCCTGTGCATCTAACCCCTGTGCCAACGGCGGCCAGTGCCTGCCCTTCGAGGCCTCCTACATCTGCCGCTGCCCATCCGGCTTCCACGGGCCCACCTGCCGGCAGGATGTCAACGAGTGCAGTCAGGGCCCTGGGCCCTGCCGCAATGGCGGCACCTGTCACAACGAGGTGGGCTCCTACCGGTGTGCCTGCCGGCCCACCCACGCCGGCCCCCACTGTGAGCTGCCTTACCTGCCCTGCAGCCCCTCGCCCTGCCAGAACGGGGGCACTTGCCGCCCCACGGGAGACACCACACATGAGTGCGCCTGCCTGCCAGGTATGTAAGGGCCCAGGTGCAGGGACAGCCCACCCTTTACTGAGGGGCCAGCCTTGGGGTCCCTGCCAGGAGCAGCCTCTCAAGTGACTAGGAGCCTCAGTGCATGGGGCAGCCCTGGGGTCTCCACCAGGAGTAGGTTCCCCAAGAGGCCAGCCCTGGGGTCCCCACCAGTGACAGGTTCTCAAGGGACCAGGAGTCGAAGTGCAGGGGGCAGCTTTGGGTGCCCAGTAGGAGCAGATGTCCCAGGGACTGGTCACAGAAGTGAGCGGGACCACCCCCTTCCCGTGGGGGTCTGTGTGAGTGGGTGTTAGGTCTGAGCCCCCATTCTGCCCTCCCTTCGCCCCAAGGCGGCTCTGGGCAAGGCAAGGGGACAAGTGCTCTGGGTGCCCTGCTCACACCCCCGTGGACCCTCTTGGCCCCACTTCCGAGTTCCCTGGGAGCTGGGCTAGACGGCACTACCAGGGCCCCAGGGGCTTCCCCTCAGCCGCGCCTGGGCGGAGCTGTGAGGGGCCCAGAGCGCGTCATTTCCGGCGCCCGTGGGTGCTGCCTGGCTTCTTGGGGGGTAAGGTTCTTGTTTGAGTCAGCCTGACGGGACTACACCTTGCGGGGGCTTGAGCCTGGGTCTGCCCTGCTGTCTTCCCGACATCAGGCAGGACGGGGGTGGGGACAGGATGGGGCATGCTAACCCAGGGGTGACCCAGAGGCCGGCCAGCCCTGCAAAGGGGAAGTGGGATGCCTGTCACCCTGTCACCCTGATCTCGCACGAGTCCCTTGGCCCCATGTGGTGATGGTCTGGCCTGCTGAGCTCCCTTCCCCCATCCAGGCGAGCCAGGAATGTGCCTCCCTACCCCCGCCCCGCGGCCTGGACCCTGGATTCAAGCCCCTTCTTGGCAGCCTCATGCCCTCTGGGCAGCGCTTACCTCATTCCCGTGGGTTGAGGGCCCTGACCAGCCTGGGAGCTCGGGGCCCTGAGAGTGGGCAGAGTGGTCTCAGACTCCAGATGGGGTGCTCAGGACCTCAGGCTGTGGGAGATGGACTAGAATGGTGGCCTCAGTCTAGTGGTGGGCACATCCCCTGAAGCAGACCACCTCTGCTCACCCAGGTCCCATCCAAGGGCCCCTGCCTGCCCTATGGCCCACTTCACTCTCTGTATGGTCCAGGGTCCCAAGAGATGGTCCAAGGGGTGATGGGGTCCCCTGAGCCCTGCAAGCACCCAGCTATTCCCTGGAGCTCACTGACAAGTGCCCCTAGTCTTCGTGTACCCATTTCACAGGGGCGAAGACTGAGGTAGAGGAGCTGGGGTTTAGGCCCAGCATCCCACAGTGGGAGCGCCCTCAGCTGGCCTCTGGCTTGAGCAGTGTCCGTGCACCCGTGTTCCAGCCAGCCTCACCCCCAGGGAGAAGCCTGGGATTTGGTGCCCTCAGCCACGCCCTGATGGCACTGGGCTGCCTAGCTCTGTGCTGGGTGGGAGGGTGCCTCCCGGGACATGGCTGTAACGGTCGGCTCCCAGGCAGGAGGGGTTCAAAGGCACCCCGGGAGCAGCATTAATCAGTCACCAGCTGCAGCTCAGGCCACTGCCCATCCCGGCTTCTGGGTTGATCATTGAGCTACGGGCGCTGAGCGTGTTAATGGCTAACAGGGGTGGGGTGGTGGGGTGGCCGGGCCAGGTGGGCCTGTTCGGGTTCAGTCTGTGGGAGGGGCACAGCTCCTGGGGGCGTCTGGGGTGCTGTGGCCACACCTGGTCACCGGGGCCCGAGGTGCTCTGTTAGACGGATGGTTTGGACGATCAAACCTTCGGGAACCCTGTGCTCGTGGAGGTGTGGACGTGTGGAGGAAGTGTCGGGCCGAAGTGCCAGGGCCAGCCCAGGAGTGGCGTCATGGCCAGCAGGCCAGGGGCTGACCCAGCTTTCCCTTCGCAGGCTTCACTGGTCAGAACTGTGAGGAGAACCTGGATGACTGCCCGGGGAGCAGCTGCCGGAACGGGGGCACCTGTGTGGATGGGGTCAACACCTACAATTGCCGCTGCCCGCCTGAGTGGACAGGTATGTGCTGGCCACACGGCCCCACTCTTGGCCGTGAAAACAGGACCCGAGGCAGGCATAGCTCCCAGTGGACATGCTTGGGGCAGCACCACTCTTCCCAACAGTGTCCTTCTGTGGGGGCTGCTACCCCTGGTGGACAGATGTGTGTAGGAGGGTCCCCACCACCCCTGCCACCTGTGAGGTGGAACAGGCCTTGGGGCAGGGGGTTCGAGGAGAGCTGAGATTGACAGCAGCAGGTGGGCAGTGTCACCTTCCAAGGTGAGGGACCCTCAGGCCCAGCCGTGTCTGTACATGTGCACTCTAGTGGCCTGACCACAGGCTGCCGCCTCCCCAGTCCAGAGCTGAGTTAATGAACTTTCAGCCCCAGTGGGAACACTGACTGTTCCCTGCAGGGGGTCTTGCTCTGCGGGGTGAAGGGTGAGGGTGGACCCCAACACGACACCACCATTGTTGGTCACGCAAGCAGAGTGCACACCTCTCTGGGCCCAGCAGGAGGGGTGGTCGCAGGTACAGGGCACAGCTGGAAGGCGTCCTGGAGGAGGCGGCACTGTGGCCCTGCACCCTGAAGAGTAGCAGCCAGGGGTCTGTCCTCCTGCCCTACAGGCCAGTACTGCACAGAGGATGTGGATGAGTGCCAGCTGATGCCCAACGCCTGCCAGAATGGCGGCACGTGCCACAACGCTCAGGGCGGCTACACCTGCGTGTGCGTCAACGGCTGGACGGGCGAGGACTGCAGTGAGAACATCGACGACTGCGCCAATGCTGCCTGCTTCCACGGCGCCACCTGCCACGACCGCGTGGCCTCCTTCTACTGCGAGTGCCCCCATGGCCGCACAGGTGAGCGCCAGGGCCATAGAGACGGTGCTGTCCTGGGCATAGGGATGGCCGAGGGGTGTCTGAGCCCGAGAGGGCGGGGGACAGCCAGGTCCAGGGAGGACAGAGGAGAGCCAGGTCCCGAGAGGGTAGGGGAGAGCCAGGTCCTGAGGGGACAGAGGAGAGCCAGGGCCTGAGAAGGCGGGGGACAGCCAGATCAGGGGGGCCGGGGAGAGCCAGGTCCCGAGAGGGCGGGGGACAGCCAGGTCAGGGGGGCCGGGGGGCGGGGGGAGAGCCAGGTCCCGAAAGGGCAGGGGAGAGCCACGTCGGGGGCTAGCACAGACCCTCCCAGCCGAGCCTGAGTCCGGGGCATGGTGGGGTGGCCTCCCTGGAGCTCAGAGCCGGCGTGTGCCTGCCATGGCCCGAGCCTGAGCCCTGACCCACCACCTGGCCCTGCCTCCAGGTCTCCTGTGCCACCTCAACGACGCATGCATCAGCAATCCCTGCAACGAAGGGTCCAACTGCGACACCAACCCCGTCAACGGCAAGGCCATCTGCACCTGCCCCTCAGGGTACACGGGGCCGGCCTGCAGCCAGGACGTGGACGAGTGCTCACTGGGTGCGTGCGAGGCTGGGGGCCCAGGGTGCATAGAGAGCAGGGGAAAGGTGGATAGGAGGAGGCTTGAGGTACAGGACGCACAGGGTATGGGGGGAGGTGCAGGGAGCACAGCAGATTCAGGTACAGAGGGTGCATGGGAACATGAGATACTAGGAGCATGGGGCACGAGGGTAAGGGGAAGCTTGGGGTGTAGGGGCCACGGGCACAGAGTGAGGCTCTGGGAACAGAGGGACAGGCAGCACAGTTACAGGAAAAGACTGGAGGTTCCAGGGATACTTGGGGTCCAGGAGCATGGGACATAGAGAGAGACTTGGGGTACAGTGGACTCACGGTGCAGGGTAAGCTCAAGCCAAGGGGAGCGGGGTTCAGGGGAGGCTCAAGTGCATGGCCTGTGGCAGGGTGAAACCGACCGCTTGGCCCCTTTCCCTTACTGACCCCGCTGTCCCCAGGCGCCAACCCCTGTGAGCACGCGGGCAAGTGCGTCAACACCCTGGGCTCCTTCGAGTGTCAGTGTCTGCAGGGCTACACGGGGCCCCGCTGTGAAATCGACGTCAACGAGTGTGTGTCCAGCCCCTGCCAGAACGATGCCACCTGCCTGGACCAGATTGGGGAGTTCCAATGCATCTGCATGCCCGGTGTGTCCCCGGCATCTGGGGAAACAGGCTACCAGGCAGGCGGGCTGGCCAGGGGTGCTACCTACACCAGGTAGGCCCTGAAGCCCTTTCTCACTGTCCCCTCCCCAGGCTACGAGGGTATTTACTGTGAGCTCAACACGGACGAATGCGCCAGCAGCCCCTGTCTCCACGGCGGCCGGTGCCTGGACAAGATCAACGAGTTCCATTGCGAGTGCCCCACTGGTGAGGCCATGGCCACGGCTCCAGGATGTCTTCAGAGAGGCTGGCCCCCAGTGTGCCCCGGATAGGAAGGCTGCATGCACCCCAGTGTGTCCTCAGGGAGGTTGCACCCCCATGTGTCCTCAGAGAGAGAGGTGAACCCCAGTGCGTCCTCAGACAAGGAGGCTGCATACACCCCACTGTGTGCTTAGGGAGGCTGTACACTAGTGTTCCCGATGGGAGGTTACACCTCAGTGTGCTCTCAGCCAGCCACAGGTCAAAGCTGGGTGGTCCAGGGAGGACATACTAGGGACTCCAAGGCTCAGATGAACAGGGTTTCTGCAGAGGGGCCCAGACACAGCGCTGTGGCCAGAGGCTAGGGCCTCTAGAGATGTGGACCTGCTGAGATGGCCACCAGAGGCTGTCTGCAGTCCCTCCAACGCTGTTACCATAGCACTGGAGGTCTGTAGAACTGAGGACACAGCCTGCCTAGTGGTGAACGGGGTGGGGTGGAGTCTGCTCTGCAGGACGGGAGCTGAAGGGGCAAGACAGAAACTAGAGGTGGGTATGTACACAGGCCCCCTCGCGGGTTCTATGAACCCCAAGCCCAGCATGGGCAGTAAGAGAGCTGGCCCTCTGACCGCTGTCTCTCCCAACCACAGGCTTCACTGGGCACCTGTGCCAGTATGACGTGGACGAGTGTGCCAGCACGCCCTGCGAGAACGGAGCCAAGTGCCTGGACGGGCCCAACACCTACACCTGCGTGTGCACGGAAGGTCTGAGCATGGCGGGGACACAGGGACGGGGCAGGGACACAAGAATGAGGAAGGGGTACAGGGGCAGGGCACGGGGACAGGGCATCTCTGCCCACCACCTATGCCTGCGTGTGCACGGAAGGTCCGAGCATGGCGGGGACACAGGGACGGAGCAGGGACACAATGAGGAAGGGGTACAGGGACAGGGGCAGGGCACGGGGACAGGGCATCTCTGCCCACCACCTATGCCTGTGTGTGCACGGAACGTGCAGGCAGGATGCGGACGGACACAGGGATGAGGCAAGGGCATGGGGACACAGGAGGACAGGGAGCAGATGACGACACGGGGATGGGGGACACAGGAGGACAGGGAGCGGGTGAGGACACGGGGATGGGGGACACAGGGACGGGGCAAGGGATGGAACAGGGACACAAGTATGAGGAAGGGGTACAAGGACAGGGGCAGGGCATCTCTGCCCACCACCTGCACCTGCACGGAAGGTGCGAGTGGGTTGGGGGACACGAGGACGAGGTGGAGACATGAGGTCGAGGTGGGAACTAGGATCTTGGTGGGGGACACAGAGTCAGGGTATCTATGCCCAGAAGAAGGAGGGACAGGTGTGGGCGTGCCGAACCATGCCCAGCACGTAGGGATACCTGTCCTTGCCCACCTGGTGGCTTGGGAGGGGGTGGCCTTGGGGGCTAGCTGTGAACCTCCCGCCCCTTGGTCCCAGGCTACACAGGCACACACTGTGAGGTGGACATCGATGAGTGTGACCCTGACCCCTGTCACTATGGCTCCTGCAAGGATGGCATTGCCACTTTTACCTGTGTCTGCCGGCCAGGCTACACTGGCCACCGCTGTGAGACCAACATCAATGAGTGCCACAGCCAGCCCTGCCGCCACGGGGGCACCTGCCAGGACCGCGACAATGCCTACTTGTGCTTCTGCCTCAAGGGGACCTCAGGTGCGGGCCAGGTGGGCAGTGGGCGGACACCTTGTCATGTGGGACAGGCACTGACCTCATGCCACCCCTCCCAGGACCCAACTGTGAGGTCAACCTGGACGACTGTGCCAGCAGCCCCTGCGCCGCGGGCACCTGCCTGGACAAAATCGATGGCTACGAGTGTGTGTGCGAGCCGGGCTACACAGGTGAGCTGCCCAGGTGAGGGCTCTGTCCCTCCCCTCAGAGCAGTGGGCAGCAGCCGCCCAGGACTCTGAGAAGGCCAAGTCTGAGGGAGGTTTGGGGGTGACTAGACCTCTGATGCTGGAGCCCCCATGGCCCCAGGGACCGCAGGCCCTCAGGGCAGAGCAGGTGTTCCAGGGCCGCACTGGTCAGATCCCGGCCAGCTGCTGTCCACACGGCCTAACTCATTAGTCAGGAGGAAGGATGGTGCTGGCCTCCGCCTGGGGGCTCTGTGGTCACAAGGCGTGCAGTCACAAGCACGTGGTCACAAGCACTGCTCGCTCCAGTTCACGCTCATAGAGGCCGAGGGGTGTGAGCCTTGGACTAAAGCTCAGGGAATCGGAGGTGCAGCTGGTCAGACCACCCCATCAGGTGCAGCTGATCAGACCCCACCACCCCCATGCCAGCCTCCAGGGGGTGTGAGCCAGGGTTAAAGGTCAGGGAGTCGAAGGTGCAGCTGATCAGAACCCCCAAACCCTATGCCAGCCCCCAAGGCGTGTGAGCCTTGGGCAAAAGATCAGGGTGTCAGAGGGGCAGCTGGTGATACCCCCATCCCGTGCCAGCCCCTGGGTTAAAGGTCAGGGAGTCAGAGTGCAGCTGGTGATACCCCCATCCTGTGCCAGCCCCTGGGTTAAAGGTCAGGGAGTCAGAGTGCAGCTGGTGATACCCCCATCCCATGCCAGCCCCTGGGTTAAAGGTCAGGGTGTCAGAGGGGCAGCTGGTGATACCTCCATCCCGTGCCAGCCCCTGGGTTAAAGGTCAGGGAGTCAGAGTGCAGTTGGTGATACCCCCACCCCATGCCGTTCCCCAGGGAGCATGTGCAACATCAACATTGACGAGTGTGCAGGGGACCCCTGCCACAATGGCGGCACCTGTGAGGACGGCATCAATGGCTTCACCTGCCGCTGCCCCGAGGGCTACCACGACCCCACCTGCCTGTCAGAAGTCAACGAGTGTGGCAGCAACCCCTGCATCCATGGAACCTGCTGGGACGGTCTCAACGGGTACGCCCCTGCGCTGGGACACGTGGGCCCAGCACTGCCCTGGCCACTCCTGTCCTGGGCATGGCCCAGGATAACCCCAGAACACACGGGGAGATAGGGGCACTGCTTTATGACAGCCAGGCCACCTAAGAGTCAGGCTGCCTGGGCCCAGATCCATTGGAGGGGACGACCTGCTGCCCACCTGGGCCTTGTAAGGCTGAGACCGCCCAGCTGTAGGTCTTCATGGAGGGTGTGTCAGCCTGTGTGAGCGGTCCTGGATCTAATGACTTCAGCCTTGGGCATGATGGGCGCCTACTCAACCCGGACAGGGAGCTGGAGGGTCAGGGTGGACCTGTGCGCTGTGTGCCTCCCTGAAGTTGGCCTGGGGGGTGGCAGGGGGGGCCAGGGCCGTGTCTGAGCCTGCACCGCGCTGCCCCAGGTATAAGTGTGACTGTGACCCTGGCTGGAGCGGAGCCAACTGTGACATCAACAACAACGAATGCGAGTCCAACCCCTGTGTCAACGGCGGTGCCTGCAAGGACATGACCAGCGGCTACGTGTGCACGTGCCGGGAGGGCTTCAGCGGTGGGTGTCCAGGGCCACCTGTGAGGAGGGGGACACGGCTCAGCCGGGACCTCGTCAGTCAGCCCCACATGGAGTCACCTGCTCTCCATGAGGCCGAGCCTGGGGGCCAGCTCCCACATTCCCGTTGGGTCCAGGCTGTCCAGGAAATGGGTGGGTGAGGTTGGGGAGCAGTTACTGGGATGCACACGTGCTGACAGCTGCCCCCTACAGGCCCCAACTGCCAGACGAACATCAACGAGTGTGTGTCCAACCCGTGTCTGAACCAAGGCACTTGCATCGATGACGTGGCCGGGTACAAATGCAATTGTGTGCTGCCGTACACAGGTATGTGGGCCGGGTGGGCCTGCTGGAGTCCCGAGTCAGGGCCCCGAGATGACCTGCCTTATTACACAAGTGAAAGGGCCAGTGTTGGCCTGGGGGCTGGAGTCCCGAGTCAGGGCCCTGAGAAGCCGAAGAGCCAGGGCTTGAGCTCAGAACGGAAGGAGGCTGGCAAGTTTTGTCCACACCTGGGCCGTGGGCCCTGCCTGCAGTGGGCCCCACCTGCGGCCTGTAGATTCACTGATGGCTGTGCGTGGGTCCGGCTAGCCTGGCATCTCAGATACAGTGTTGTGTCTTCTGAGGCTGCCCAGTGCCCATGCCACCGTCCACTTGCCCCTAGCCTCTGGGGCCTGCTTCCTCTCTGCAGCGGAATCTGAGGGCCTCCCTGGTGGTAGCCCCTTTGTGTGAGGGAACAAGGCTCCTTCTATCCCAGCTGAGTGAGGACCGTGCATCCCTGGAGACCCACCTGGCCAGTGTTTGAGGGACCTCGAGAGTGAGCCCTTTTCAGAGGAGAGTGGTGAAGAAACCCACCTCTCCAGTCCCTGGCTCTGTGGACAGCACCCAAGGGACTCCTCCCCAAGGTCCCCTGACACTGGGCAGCCAGGCTGGAGCCTGAGCATCCTCCTGCAATTGGGGTGCCCCTCAGCCACCCAAGTCCTCCCTGCCAGTGCACAGTGAGCCTGGATCTATCAGCCCCAGGACCAGTGGGTGGGGCTCCCAGTGCTGACTGCTTCCTGTCTGCCTGTTTCCTGCTTCCCCTCGCTCAATTGTCGGAAACGCTGGTGAATTTCCTGCCTGCCCGGGTCACTGTGGAAACCGATAGAAAGAGGCCCTGGAAAATCGCAGGCCAGCTGGGGAGACGGCCGCAGCAGGACGATAGCGCGTCCTTGCTCCGTCCACCAGCCCTGGGCTGTAAACAGGAAGCGGAAAAGGGCAGCCCCGTTAGCACTCCTTCCCTGAGGCTATCAGCCAGGCCCCTGTCCCAGGGCTCCCCGACACAGGCCTGCCGGGGTGCCACATCCTGGCCAATGGAGAGTGTCCAGCTCAGTCCTTGTGCCTACTCCAGGGGGTTCCAGTCCAGCCTGCAGGGGAACCCGCAGTAGTTGGGAGCTCTGGGCTTGGCCAGTGGGCAGCCCCTCACCTCCATTCCAGTTGTTGGGGTCCCAGCTCAGCTGGGGCCTCATGTGGGGCCTGGTGCGGTACCCCTTTCTTCCCTCGAGTGTCTGGTAGCACAGATGCCTTGAAGCCTCAAAGGCCCAGCCTGGCAAGGATGCCCCGGCCTCACCTGTCTCTTCACCCCAGGAGCCGCCTGTGAAGTGGTACTGGCCCCGTGCGCGCCCGGCCCCTGCAGGAACGGGGGCGAGTGCAGGGCGTCTGAGGACTACGAGAGCTTCTCCTGCATCTGCCCCCCGGGTTGGCAAGGTGGGCAGCTCGTCAGGGGCCTGAGGCCCACGTCCATGCCAGGGGCACCAGATGGGGCAGGTCCCAGGGAGGTTTGTGCAGAAGGAAGCTAGAGCTGATAGGGCTTCCCATCCTGAGTTTGTAGAACCTTCTAGATCCTAAGGGGGCAGATGGCCACCTTTCCTTGGAGAGCCCCTGCGGGACCGTCCTGGTGACACCTCGGAGGACGGGACCTCGGTGACAGCAGCACCTCCACAGGGCAGACGTGCGAGATTGATATCGACGAGTGTGTGAAGAGCTCCTGCCAGCATGGTGCCTCCTGCCAGAACACCCTCGGGGGCTTCCACTGCCACTGCCTGGCCGGCTACACAGGCCGCACCTGTGAGACAGACATCGACGACTGCCGGCCAAGTGAGTGTCCCCGGGCAGGTGCACGCCCAGAGGCCAGTGCTGGCCAGCCAGGTGTGGCCGGGAAGAAGTCAGACTTGTCCCCCAGTACAACCCCACAAAGTGGTTTCCAGAGCATTCTGGAGCCAGACTGCCCAGCTTCAGGTTTATCTAGCACAGGCCAGCTGCCCCCAACCTTGCCACCAGATGACCATGCACACTGTGGTGGGGTGCCCAGCCAGAGCCCCTGCTGACCCTGGGGGTGAGGATTCCACCCCTGCAGCCTGGCTCAGACAAGGGTGTGTGTCTTCCTGGGGTCACCCAGTGAGGGGGTGGTGATGGAATTGTGATAGCATTAATGGTTAAGAGTACAGACTCACCTCTGAGGAAATGCACAGCTCAGCCTGCAGCCAGAGGACCTCCCACTTCGGGTGTGCTGTGGGCTGGCCAGACCCCCCAGTATGGCCGTGCATGCCCTCAGGCCCCCTGTGTCCCCCAGACCCGTGCCACAATGGCGGCTCCTGCACAGATGGCATCAACGCAGCCTTCTGCGACTGCCTGCCTGGTTTCCGGGGGGCCTTCTGCGAGGAGGACATCAATGAATGCGCCAGCAACCCCTGTCGCAACGGCGCCAACTGCACGGACTGCGTGGACAGCTACACGTGCACCTGCCCCGCTGGCTTCAGAGGGATCCACTGTGAGGATAACACACCTGACTGCACCGAGAGGTGGGCGCCGTGCCTGCGGGGCCTGTGGGGCCTGGGGCAGCACCTGGGAGGCGCGGCATGGCAGAGTGGGAGCCCAGGAGGGACCCCTGTGTCTGGCAGCCTGTGTGGCAGGCAGGGGTCTGTCTGGTTCTAATTGAGTCCAGGCATTTCTTTACTGTGTTTATGTCCCTTCTGAGAGGGCCTCTGTGGCCCAGGCCACCTCCTGTGCCGGGCTCCAAAGACCGAGGGTTCATCCTGCAGAGCAGTTTGCCTCTTTCCACCAGATCTCGAGTGCTTTGCACGCTGCCTTGCCGCCCTTTCCGCCCTGGCTGCCGGCATACCCAGCATTCAGCGATCTCATTTCTGGGTCCCATGAAGCTTCTGGTTCCTCTTTAACTAAGTGCCTTGTTCCCTCAAGTTATGAAAAGCCAAAAACCAAACCGACTGCGACTTGAGTCAATTCCTCCTTGCAGTGACCTGTAGGACAGAACAGGACGGCCCCCGAGAGCGTCCGAGGCTGAGCGTGTTGACGGAAGTGGGCTGTCCCTCCTGGTCCCTAGAGCAGCGGGTGGGGAGCCACTGGCCTTTCCATTAGCAGCTGCTGGTCAGTACTGTCGAGTCAGAACCAGCCCATAGCTGACCCTCCGGCGGAGGTTGCCCTCCTCCCTCGAAGCTGCTGGTGGATTTGAACCATGTGCCTTTGCAATTGCAGAACAGTTTCTTACCACCAGGTCGCCAGGCCCCATGCTTTAACTATTGCGCCACCACAAATTCCAGGAGGAGGCAGCAGTGGGGTGTGGGCCCGAGGTCAGGCAGGTGCCGCTGCCCGTGGCCACGGTGTGGCCGAGGTGGAGCTGGTGGCCTGAAGGAGCCTGCTGGGGAGCGGGGCCTGGGGGCTGCACCTCCACTCACCCCCCTCCTCCCCGTCCAGTTCCTGCTTCAATGGAGGCACCTGCGTGGACGGTATCAACTCCTTCACCTGCCTGTGTCCACCTGGCTTCACGGGTAGCTACTGCCAACATGACGTCAATGAGTGTGACTCTCGGCCCTGCCTGCACGGAGGCACCTGCCAGGACAGCTACGGAACCTACAAATGCACCTGCCCCCAGGGCTACACCGGTGTGAATTGCCAGGTGAGGCGGCCCAGGTGGGCCACCGCCTACCTGCCCTTGAGGACCAAACAGGAGTCCAGACTGACCTGAACTGGGTGAGGGGACATAGGCAGTGGCACCAGGAAGGGAACAGATGAGAGAAGGGGAGGTGGTTCATTGTTGGTGTGGAAATGGAAACATCAAAACTGTCCAATGAAGGTTTCCATCAAGGGTCTGGCTCAAAGAAATTTCCAGAGATTCTTCCTCCCTAGACAAGCCTTCTGTCAGGGACAGGGAGCAGTGGTCTGGGGCCCTGAGACAGAGTGCCCAGTCCCTATCAGGGCCACTTGGCCTTGGTTCTCCCACTGCTGGTGGTCACTCTCACCTGGTGGCAACCACTTGACCCACCCACCATCCCCAGAACCTGGTGCGCTGGTGTGACTCCTCCCCCTGCAAGAACGGTGGCAAATGCTGGCAGACCAACACACTGTACCAGTGCAAGTGCCACAGCGGCTGGACTGGCCTCTACTGCGACGTGCCCAGCGTGTCTTGTGAGGTGGCTGCACGGCAGCAAGGTACACGCCTGGGGTTGGCTTTGCCACGGTAGAGGGTGCAGGGCCCCCAGACG